GGGGGGGGTCCAAAATATTTACATATTCTTTGTAACTGCAATCGCAAAAATTGAAATATATTCTAGGGATGTGATGATACCAAAAACTAACGGTACAATATTACCATAATAAAGATATTTATCACGATGCCCCCAACTAAATAATAAATCAGCATTTTTTGGTACAATGCATATAAAAGATAATGCAGTAGTCTTGTCAACAAAACAAGTCATACTCACAGTGGAACATCAGTGTTTTTTTTACCCCCGACATATGGCTACACCAACTGGTATCCCCCCCGACCACTGGGGGGCAGTAGTGACCAAATTGCTGTTTTATTGGAGGTGTTTTTCAAACATCATGGTTTACTTTTTGAAGCAAAAATACTTATGACTGGTTACTAAGTGCTTGTTTATGCGTATTTGCATCTGGTTTGTTTGCTCATCTTCATCAAAGTCGTGTCCCGGCTGTTTCTGCAAGATGTATCCACGAGTATCTCAGTCAAAAACTGGGCTAATATTGCATTTGTCCGGCAGAATTTGCAAACTGTTTGTCAGTTTCCTTTCTGCCTGTGCCATTTCTTGAAACAAGAAAACTGAAATGCTGACAAACAAGCAACCTCTCTCATCAACACCCTACCATAGCAACGTTCCACAGTGACAAATAAACCATAAAATAAACAGGCCTAAATTCCCCCCCGCCCCCATTAGATAATTAGTGATTATTTGATTTTTAAAATCCATATAATTTACCAACAAAACCAGTAATTGCAGAAACTGAGTGATTTTATTAAACAACAAACTGCTAGATTTTAGAGGGAACTGGTCTCACAAAATAAGTGTTTTTCTTCCATTAATTAACCACTATCATCAATATCAGACTGTATTTTCACTGACTGAAACAAATTTATGTTTAAAAAAATGTGTTGCTTATGGATAAACATGAGCAATAATCTTATAACAAGCACAATAGTGCCAAATTAAAGGGAACCCTGCTGTAAATAAACAACAGTTCAAGTGAAATGACCAAATCAGGACAGTAAAAATACTGTTCCATCTATTTTAAATGCAGCATGACGCAACAAAAAAGGAACAAAAAGCTCTGCTCATCCCCTGCTGTTTCTAAATTTAGCTTGTCCCTCGTTCCAAGTGTCTTAAATATTTTACAAAACAAAACACACGAGCAGCTCAAACATGGACTTCTTGATCTAGTTGAAGGGTCCCATCACTTGTATCTTATGAATATATTTTATGTTAACTGTTGTAGTTTTGATGATATAGTACCACAGTATCTTATTTAAGACACCTTCTCCTCCAGGGACAGCAACATTGTTCTTAGAGTAACTGTACGTCTTCAAACGTGTGACTCTAGTGTGTATAAGGAGCCTGACGTAGCCTACCATCTCAGATCAGTGCCGTCTACACAGCACTTCTCACACAGGCCTGTTTTATAATTAATGGGGACATACTTCAGCACACTGAATAATGAAGCAGTTGGGGGCACAGCGCAGCAGCTGGATGAACGGATGTGATGTCAGGAGGGGCTAAGCTTTATCACATGGACGTGAGGGCCGCTGCTGACGCGCAAACATTTAAACAGCTCTGTGTTTTGCCTGTCCTGGTTGCTCAGCATACGAAGCACGTCAGAAGGTTTTGGTTTCAGAAAGTGTTGCCAGAAGTTACAGCTGTAAGACCAGAGTTTAAGAAGGAACTCTAAAACTTTGCTATCTTCATTGTCATCCACCTGACTTTACTTCACTGTGGATATTAAAAAGGATTTTCAGTGACTAACTGGGTCAGGATCACAAGGAGCGGCAGCTGCTGCAAGACACCACCCTGCACTGTCATTCTGCTGTAGCAGGAGCCACATGAGCAGCTGAGAGCTGCACTGTTTTACCGGCACTGGAAAAATGAGGTTCCCATCAGCAGAATAACAGTCTGACTGTTATTATGCACTGTTGCACCAATATACTGTATGTCCATACTCACATCACCAACAGTGAATATTCTTTGGCAAGGATGCATGCAGAGCACTACATTTAGGATTCTCAGAGGTGTTGAATGTATTGACCTGCACAAGTGGGATATTTTTACAGATTAACTTATATCTCCTGTTTCAGAGAGAGCAACCTTGTCCCCTGGGCACCTGGCCCCAATATTAAGACCGTTGGGGCGACACTTCACACAGAACAGAGTGGCTCACTGCAAAAATAAACAGAAGTCATGACTTGAAATAGGGGTCTCAACTTACAGAGGCTTCCTTGGTGCTGTTCTTCACCCTGGTATCCAAGTGGTCATGTGCCATTTCCTCTTCCCATTCAATCTGCTCCGCTTTGGATAGGTGACCTCAGTCACAGTGTCCATACTGTCTGGCCGCTCCGCTGGGGTAAACCAGTCCCACGTGCCTCCATCCTGCACCGGACTTCTGTCCACACCTGCACTTAGTACAACAAGGACACTCAACACATGCAGGCTTGTGGGCGGACAGCCGGTTTGGCAAGGTAGGGGCACACCTGAGCCTGCCTAAATTTGACCTGGCAGTGTTTTAGTAAGCAAATTGATTTACAGGTGATAGAGTTTAAACAATTCATCTTTCAGATCAGTGCCAAAACTGATCACCAAATCATCTGTAAACTGATGATTTGATGAACTAATTTATCAAACTTTCAGTTAATGTCTTTTAAGTAACTGCTGTACTTTGAGAAATGTAGAGGATATAATTTGGGTTTTAGGTTTTGATGAAAAATGATAAATACAGAGAATACAGATTACACACCAGTTGACTGACACCTATATATAACAGACAGGGCCATACCTTAAAATCTCAGCAGGTTGCAAAACACATTTTCTTGGGGACTGGTGAAGTTATATCATGGTGTTTTTAAGATGTTTATTGAATAAAACAATGCTGTAAATGGTTATGGGGACATTAGATAGGGTATAGGAAACAGGGCTGCGGTGGAAATGTGTTGATGCAGCATATACCGCATCAGAGAGTGCTTCCATGCCAGTACGCTGTTTGGCACAGAGAACGCACTACAGTGAAAACAGAGTTTACACCGGGTTTTACAAAAAGTGCTGGTGCAAGGGGAAAAAATGCTAAGGAAACGAAAAAGGGTGCTCTTGCTCTTTATCCCCCCACCCCCACCCCCTTTCTCTTCTCTTACCTGAGACCGCAAGCCTCTCGCCCAATGCAGCAAAGACCATGAAGCACCACACCGCCAGCATGATCTTCACATATTCCCCCGATTACAACATCGAGAGAGCCGCAAAATGTCACGAACCCGGGCGGAGGAGGAGAGGGAAAAGACCAAAAACCGCACAACAAAAATGATGGCGAGGATCCAAAGTGAATCTGCTAAACATCTGATAATGCGCGTCTTCTCATCTCTCCCTCTATCTCTCTCCTCCTCTGCCTCTCAGCTCCGGCCAACACTGCTACGGAGAATTTGGATTTGCATATCAGAATGGTGAAAAATGAAGCACAGTCTAGGACGGAGATGATCGATACAGGCCTAGACATTAATCAGTGAGGAAATAATGAGGAACGGGAGAGTGCGCACCGCGGATACACAGCCCCGCAAGGTTGCGCGGGTGCGTATGGACGAGATTGTGTGTGTATATGCGAATATGCGGTATGCGGAAAGGAAGGGATGTGAAAGCGAGGAGAGATGCGCTGGGTCTGCGGCGAGGAGGACACGTGGGATCGTGGAACCCTCCCTCATCCCGAGGAGCCGCCTCCTCCCGTTACCATGCAGCTCTGCGAGGGGAGAGGATGCGGCAGGCCGGGCGCTGAGGTGCACGGCCGAAGAAAAGCTAGGAAAGTGGGTTAGGGAGTCACAGTTCATTCAGGTTCTTAGTGCACCGGAAAGCATGGCAGAATATCTCCGCATGCTGTGACATGAAGGTTAAAGTTCTGCAGAGGATGAAGGTGTGTCCGCAGTGAGGAGAGACTACATCTGAACACAAAAACACTTCAGAACTAATACAGCAGAGGTCTTATGGTCACATAGCCTACTCTTCAGGAACTCATGTGGTAACCAGCTCAAACAGTTCAGGATATCTTCAACACTGATATATTTATATTGACACTGTACTTTTTAATGTTACACGTGCAGATACGTCCCCCTCCTTTTCTGTTGTCAAATATAACATAAAACCAAATGCCATTCAAATAAACTTAAGAATACAGCTTTGATAAATTTGATATCTTTTCAAGTGTGGCAATACCCAATACTGAAGTGAGTTTGTGTATAAAGTATTGCATTTACAAAAACCTTCATAGGAGAGTGGTTTTCACTTACTGTAAGCCTCTGGAAGCTTTTAAGGACCCACCAGCTGCAGAATAAAAGGATGAACTTAAATGTTTGAAATGTATTTGCAGAATGTCATTATGTCGTCTATTTTCTTGAGTGACTGTGTTTATAACTAAAGTATATTCATTTGAACAACACTTTAAGGACTTTGGGCTACATAATATCACATTAACCTTTACACTGCTACAGCAAAAAATGAAGTGAATGAATGAAAAATATTATAGTCTTTATATGACTAGGGGAATTTAAGTAGCATGCATTTTCATTAAAACATCTCCAAATACACAAGTTTTACATGTTCAAACTGGAACAATTCTGTAAAATGTGAACACTCAGAACTAGATTTATACTGAAAACACTCGTGGTAATATTGTAATGATGTACAGGTCCTGTGTGATGTATGAATGTAATTGTATATGTCTAAGAAAAAAAAGTGTCCCAGTGCCCAATTGATTAGTGTCTTATTGGTAGCCATAAATACAGCAGTGACACCGGAGAACTGCAGTGCTGTGCTGCTGTCTCAGCCCTGTGACCTGCAGGTTTGACTTCTAGATGCAGTTCAATCATCCCAGAACACAGCCAGCTAATGGAGGCACACTGACAGACCCCTCTGAATATTTCATCTGCCCCTTTGAGACTAACAGTGAGTAGGAGAAACCAATGAAGAGATGGAGGGGAGAGCAACAGGAGGAGTTCTGGATCAAGGGCCAAATATATGTTCCCAAGGGCCCTCCTCATAAAAATATGGAAAGACTGTCAAAGGGTCCTGAAAAAAAAAGTCTCAACTATGTCCCCACCAATTCCCATATTGGAAATTCAACAGAGATACTATGTCAAGGTTACGTTTTATTTTATTTTTATTTATACCTTTATTTAACCAGGTAAAATCTAGTTGAGGGTTGCACCCTCTTTTGCAAGGGAGACTTGTCTGCAGAGCAATGGAACTAAAGCTGAACCACATGTGAAGGCCTTATGAAATAGAGATACACTACCATCTACTGTGCAAATAGCTGTATCACAATTAGCTGAAATAGGAGCTGCATCAGGACAAATACAGTGTGGGAGGGTTTTCCTTTACAGGCCTACCAATCTGTTGTTTAATATGTTTGTATTGAGTTATATTTCCAGTATGATGTGTTAGCATTTAAAACTTTTTATTGATTTATTTTTCTAATGTTATTATTTTATAGTTTTGTCATTTTTTTTAATCCTCTGTAAAGTGTCCCATACCTTTTAGTGTCAGATGTCTCCGTTTACTGTCTGGATTTATGTACTCGTGTTTGCATACAGGTGGGTTTAACGGGCCAATTAAGTTAATTAGTTTCAGCTGTATTACAAACCCTTGAGCCAGTGAGTACCGGTAACCTAACGCTACCAATTAAGATATCAAGCGCTGTCCGGAGGCTATAAGACAGGCTGACAAAAGCAGCGGTCTTTCTCTGACACGTCTTCGTTGAAGAAGCAAATATTCACTTATCGGGATAAAATGAACGGTGTGATCGGTGGGAGCCCTGTCCACGGTCCGCCACGGCAGTGCTTCACCTGCACCCACGCTGACTGTAGCGCGACTTTCAGCAGGCAGTGGAAACTGAAAGAGCATGAGTCGGTGCACACCGGAGAGGTAGGAATAAGACCGAAGGCTGCAATAATAACATTTGGGGAACCGCTGCGTAAATTGTACCTCAAGGACACAGACTCCCTGGTTTAAGTGCATATGATATGAAAGACTTAAGACATAAAAAAAAAAATCTTACCAAAAATGTTCACAGCGCCCGTGTCGGTGCACGTTTGCTGGCTGTGGTCGTAGTTTCACGAGACGATACCACCTGAGGCGCCACATGCTGCTTCACACAGGAGTGAAGCAATTCAAGTAAGTTAAGTGATATTAGTGCTGGTGCACCCCCTCTCCACCACCACCTCACTTGACTTTCTTTTCCAGATGCACATTCGCTACTTGCACGAAGAGTTTCTTTGGCGCAGACCAACTGAAAAAACATGTGCGCTACGCCCATGGAGAAGAGTGCTTCAAGGTTTGTGTCAATACCCACATAGCCACAAGATGGCGGCATTTCAGCTACCGTACCCTTTGCTTTTAATGTTGGTGAATAACCAGTTGAACTTCCTGTCATTCTAACCTCTTGTATTTTGTTCCCTCACAGTGTAACCAGCCAGGCTGCTCTTTGACCTTCAAAAAACGCAGAAAGTTACGACTGCACCTGAAAGAGCATGGTGTTCCTGCTAAGTTCAAGTAGGTCTGGATGATGTTCTCTCAGAAAAGCAAATTATTTTAACAGCAATGAGTTAATCAAATGCCTGATCACCCAAAGTAGTAACTTGTATTTGTATCTGCTGCTATAATCAGATCATAAATGCCTGTAGTACAGTCAAGAGAAGTGTGGCTGTAAACTGTGTGGGAAAAGTGAATTGGTTAACTTACCTTTATCCCATGTGGGTACATAGGTGTCAAAAAGACGGATGTGGTGCAATGTTTGACTCTCACACTGAACGCAAAGCCCATGAGAAGAAGCACACAGGTTGGTCTTTCTTAGAAGGGGTCCTTTCATCATCATCATCCCTGTAGCTGCAGTTGCATGTAACCAACTGTTTGTATCAAAGATGACTTCAGGGCAAAACTTGAACTGTGTATGGTTCCATAGTGGGATGGTTTTTATACTCTGATACGCTCGCTGGTCTTGCTGGTTCTCTGCAGGTTACCGCTGTCCTCATGACGAATGCCAGGCGCTTGAACACACGTGGGGCAAACTTCAGAAGCACAGGGCCAAACACTCGGGTAAATGTTGGTGGTCAAAGCACAAAAGTGCTGAAATCATCCCAGATCGTTATAGAAAGTTTCTCACTGTCTCATTACATAAGAGGGCAAGTTAATGTTCTGCCTTTTTAAAATGTTCCAGCCACATTCACATGCAGTGTGTGCAAGAAGGTGTTTAAGAAAGCGAAAGGTCTGCGGAGGCACAAACGGTCCCATGCATCCCATAAGCCTGTGCTGGTTTGTCCCAGGGACAACTGCAAGGCCTACTTCTCTACAACCTTTAACCTGCAGCACCACATCCGTAAGGTGCACCTCCAGCTCTTCAAATACAAATGCTACTTCCCCAACTGTCCACGCACGTTTGCTATGCGGGTATGTAGCATGTCTGTTACTTGTCCTGGAAATATGAGAGGGTTTTTGGTGTTCAAAGGCAAAATTTTCATGTGTAATTTGCATCTTGAAGTACTGCCATTTTAATATTACCATTGGCACACTGATTACAGTGAGACATGGCTGTAAAAACATTCTAAATCCAAGCTTAGTCATTTATTCATTGAATATTAACATAAATGAGTGACATGACTTGCATTTTACTTGTGTACTATATTAACATTTTTATTCCACAGGAGAGTTTGACCAGACACCTGTATAGCCATGACCCAGACCCCACCTCTTTGAAGGCAAGTCTCACATCAGTGTCCCACAGTGCATATGTGGACCAAAGCCACCCCACAGCAGTGAGCTAGAGCAGTCTGGCCAAAGGACATCTTTTTAAACCCTGCTGAAAACATACTCCTGTGCTTCTGATCACAGGGCAGCAGTCAGCTGAGAGTTGGGGTTGACATGACTTCATGTCTAAACGTATCAAATTGCTGCTTGAAACGTTTCCAAGGAATGGTGGTGACAGTGTAGTGGTGTCACAGAAATGTACAATTAAAGTTCTCACCCTCCTCCCCCATAGAAACGTCGGCGGCCCAAGAAATCCTGGCAGAAGCGTTTGAACGGACACAACTGGACCCTTGTAGAGGACAATCTGCGTCGTCTGTTCACCCGCCACGTGCAGGTCTCGCGACGTGCCAAAGTAGAGGCAGAGCTCTCGGGCCTCTTCAATGAGCGCAAGATCCCACACGCTGTTGGCACAGAGGCCGACCTACGCAGCTTGTTCAGTATGAAACTGCCTGAGCCCTTGGAGGAACCTGAGGTTACCCCACTAAAAAGCTAAAAGATGATGCATCCAGATTAGCTGTGCATTGTGACTTGAGTTTGAAGTCTTTGCCAGATTTTGAAGTTTTTTTTCTTTAATTTTATCATGGAAATTGGGTCTCTTTGGTTGAAGTTTAATGTAGCTGACATACATTAAGATTTTAATTTCAAAGTAATGTGAATCACTTAAATATTGATTTAGGATGTTAAGTGTTTGAGAATTTCAACACTGAATGCTTCTGAAGACGGCCGGTTTTTGCTGAACAGCTTGTTTTGTAGCACAACTCACTGACCCAATAAAATATTGTGTTTTGAGCGAAGTGGTGTGGTAATGCTGTTTTACATTCCAATTTGTTGGATATAGGTTCCTGGAGGTGTGCCCCTCAGTAGCAGCTGCTGGAGTGCTGTCCTCAGGACGGTTAGTTCAGTATCATTTAATGCCAGTGGAAAGAGCATCTCATTGTTGGTACGTTTCAAGCAGCTGTTCCTCCAGCCCAGAATCTCTTCTGCTCGGTTTAGCTGCACATATTGGTTGACATTTGCTGAGCATGTTGGAGCTCATTAAATATGAACAAAAGAACTATACATGAGTAAGAACTGAGTCACAGAATGTCACTTTGGGGGTGGATGAGATGTTGAACACAAAGTAGACAAGTCTCAGCTGTCAAATCTGTTCAGCTGAGGAGGAGGGAGGTTGAGCTGTTGTAATTCAAACACTGGCCTTGTCAACCACAAACCCCAAAAAGGCTGGTGGTGCTTAAAGTTACCTTTTAGTCCAACTGTTTCTTGCTTGGTTTTCTGTTCATCTGTTTACTGTGAAGGTGTGATCAGTTTATTCTGACTCCTTGCCTACAAGTGAAATGGGCTTTTGATTAATAGACTATGAAAACATACCTGATAGGACAGACCTTGGAGCAAAGCGCTCCATGTGAAGAAAACCGCCCATTCCAGCTGCTTCGACTTTCTCATACCTTTGTTGTATTTCAGGTGCAGTGCTCAAGTTCTTCCCCTCTTTGCTGATGGACTCAAAGCTCAGGGCTTAAGCTGCCTGACTGACCAGATGTCGCTGCTAGAGAATATCTTAACACTTCTCTGAAAGTGGGGCCAGAACCCTGTTACAAGCTTCATAAATGTTGGCTTTATGGCAGAGCAGTAACCCTACTTATAAAATGTCCTGACTGCTGTGTAATCATATAAACGGGTTAATCAAATAGTTTCAGTTCACCAATTGTTTAATCCGCTAATTGTTGCCGTTTTAGTTTGCAGCAAGCACAGAACACTAAAAGCTTGTTAGGGTAGATGTCACATTTTGCTGCATTTTATATTAGGGGTGAAATGTCTTAGATTTGTCCTTTGTGTTGTAAAAACTTGCTCTAGTCTTTGTTACTAAGTCACTCTAAAAAATCAAATATACAAAACAAATTAAAGGGCTTCAGAATTTAATATGTTCCCTTTTTATTTCAGATGGTCTGTTAAAAATTTCCTTTTGGTGTTAAATGATTCCTCCTTTTCTTGGCCCAGTGGAGCAAAGCCAGGTCCATTTCAAAGCTCCAGCCAAGCTCTGTAACTGCCTGGCAGTTTGAGTCAGGATGGCGTCTTCACTGCTGTGTTTCTCTTTCCCGTGCCAAAAGACATTCTTTCTGCTTTGCAGTCTCAGGCTACCTTCCTAACATCCCTAGCTGTGGCGTTACCTCTTTTGGTCCATACGTTAAAGGAGCTGACCTGCATGCTCAGTCACACTGGAGGGGCTGCACACAACCACAGCTGACTGTCTTCTAAATCCCTAATAATCTTGCCTACATTGTATCTCACCCCTTTGCAAAATGTAATTTACAGAATCCTTATAAAGCATCAGTCTCAATGTTGTGATATAGTAGTGTTGTGTTGTGTTGTGAGGCTTTCAAAGTCTTCTCCGCTGAGCAGGAATTCGAATGGATAGTCTTGTTTCTATGGTGATGCAACACAATGAACAAGGTTTCCTTTGTTGTGTTCCCTGTCTTGTCAGTAGGGATTTTAGAACAAACGGGGCTGTGTTTACACACCTGTTGAACACCTGCAAAGTACCCAAGTGATTAAATGTTCCATGTTGACTGCAAAGCTGATTGTTTTCCACTGGGGCTACAGAGTCCCATAAGATCGATGATGCCGCCTGATGTCAAAGGGGCCAAGCTTTCGACTGATGCCAGTAACAGTATCAAACCTAAATCATACACAGTCAGCCACACCCTTATATAATCCTCTGGCTGTCTGCAAAGGCCAGTCCAATTATCCAAATAGTGAGCATGACCTTTGGTGCAATGTGCTGAGCTTGATTTCTGACACATGTGCATCACAGAGCAGCACAAAAGAAAGTCACAATAAAACTGTCACAGCAAGGGAGGCTGCAACACTCATTTTGTATTCATGACTGCCTGATTAGCGCCAAGAAAACATGCATTTAATAGGCAGTGAATGGATTTTAGATTGTTTTAATGGCATGGAGAGAATCAGTGTATGACAAAGTAAATGGAAAATATATTGTTCCTGTATAAAAGTCAGTTGAGTCAAAATTTTAATTCATTATTTATCAACCATGTAAGGTTTCAAATCAATATATAGTTGTCTCCTGTGTTAAAAACTGCATCAGTTACATAGGTTTCAGTGGGCCAGAAGGTTGTTGATCCATATCTTCACCTTCAGTCTGTTTATCTACAGGAATGGAAAGCTAAGTAAAACTTTCATTAAATCAGGTGTACTGGTCGTGTACAGTAAAAGGGGCTTCTTGGCAGCTTCAAAAAGCATTAAAAGGAATAAATACAGTTCACTCGACCTACAGGCACAAGCGCCGTGCTTAGTGAGTGGCTCGACAAGTAACAAATTCACTCAACTAATGTCTCGTCTGCAGTAATTACAAGAGTTTTTATTTTGACCATTGACATAACAAATATAACATGGGACTGCTCTCTGCAGTACTTTTACAGATCTGCCAGGAAACAGTGCAGATGTTTAGCCATTAAAATAAAAGCTTTATGTGACATTCATTTGACTAATACATTAGTGCAAATGAATAAAATGGAAACCACTGTGTTTAGACTCCATAGGAAAAATGTATACATGTATCCCTCCCAACAACTAAAAGGCAAAGTTTGATTAATTGCAAGAAAACAGATTCAACAGTATCTTTTATAAAAGAGAGCTATAATATATAGGTCTACTAAACCTCTGAAGCTCCCTAATCTAAGTATATGGATGTGTAGAACATTTTTCTATGCACCGCAGAACACTCAAAGTGCTGTCACACCATTTTCCCATACACTGACACAGTAGTGGGACAACCATTGGGAGCTTGCACTGTTGGTTTTATGACATTTCAACAGCTTTTTAAAGAAAACTTAATTTCTTCTTCCACATAGAATATTCCACAGTTTTCTCATTTGAGTTATTAACCCACCCGGAACATTTGAATTGAATGACAGGAAAAGTTAGACCAAGAGTGTTGTTTCAGAGAATCCCAAAACAACAAGATAATTTGAAGTAGGTTAACAGTTGTCATGTCCTGATTTAGTCTGCCTCATCCAGAATAGATGACCCAAAATGTCTTCTCCACCCTCTTTTCTCCCATTTCCCATGGCTCCACCAAGAGAGCAACTCATAGCTGTGGCACCTGCCTACTAAACTGGCAGCATTAACCAAATAACCGTCAGACAGGCAGCTGTGTGCAGAGGTGAAAACACACCCAGCTCTTCTGCCTGCCTCAGAATATGTAGTGCTGCAGCTCCTTGGCAATTTGTACGTTATTAACCCACCCAGAACATTTGAATTGAATGACAGGAAAAGTTAGACCAAGAGTGTTGTTTCAGAGAATCCCAAAACAACAAGATAATTTGAAGTAGGTTAACAGTTGTCATGTCCTGATTTAGTCTGCCTCATCCAGAATAGATGACCCAAAATGTCTTCTCCACCCTCTTTTCTCCCATTTCCCATGGCTCCACCAAGAGAGCAACTCATAGCTGTGGCACCTGCCTACTAAACTGGCAGCATTAACCAAATAACCGTCAGACAGGCAGCTGTGTGCAGAGGTGAAAACACACCCAGCTCTTCTGCCTGCCTCAGAATATGTAGTGCTGCAGCTCCTTGGCAATTTGTACAATGTAATAAGATTTAAATAACTGCTTTGTCAAAAGTGAACAGTTATTATTAACTAGTAGGCACAAAGTTGGTCAGATCAGCTGCAAGACTATATGAGAGCATACGAGTGTCTCCAAGCTAGCATTTCATTGCCTCTTACCTCATTTAGGTTTTACTCCAGATGCCTGTGTATTGCTTCATGAATGTTTTAACAGTCTGAAGGCTCCAATTTCACCTCCCACCTAGTTGTTTGCCCGCATTCAGCCCAAGTTAATGATGCTGTAAATCCATGACACACATATAAATCAGCTCTTGAAGAAAAGGCAGCAGAGAGACTTTCAGACACACAGAGTGGTACAGTGTGTATGTATTTATGCTGGTAAGTTTGCCTAGACATATTCATTTGGTTCACAAGCCAGGAGCAGTTCTTATAGGAAAGTGGAGCAGGTGCAGCAGCGGCCAGGACACTGAAAGTCATCCAAAACAGAGGAGACTGATAATGTTTACTTTAAGACTCCTTTGACATTGTTCTAGGAGCTTTGAGTTCAGAGAACAAGCTTTGTTCTCAGCTGGGCCTCTGCTTCATTGGCAATTTTATCCAGTATATTTGGTCAATAGGCATGACAGAGAGCTCGTGTTTTTCCATCTCATCCTGTTTTTATAAAATGCCCCTCGGTGACAAACCATCCACCCTAGGCTGTTTATCATCTTTTCTCAATCATTAAGTTCCTTTGCTTTTCTGATATTTCTCTTTGGTCATTTTCATGGCAAAATATTCACTGGCAAATTTTCAACTGCTTCCTTTGTCTGCATTATCCCTCCCTGGCTGCGTTTGTAAAAAACTGTGCAAATATAAATCCCTGAAGAAGGCATAAAGTTGTGAGTGTATTTCTCTGTCAGAGGCAATGACGGTGGCTATTTATTGTTTTTGCCTAATAAATTGCTTTGTGTGTTTTGGTATAGGGTGCTGATTATGTGCTGTAGACCCAGAAGTGAAATAGATTTGCAATGCATCACATGTCCACAGGCTGACAATGGATGGATGGTGCAGGTTAAGAAAAAACATACTGTTCCTTCACTGTGACAAGGATTTGCATAATACAGTCACGAACGCAAGAGCAGTCTCTTAAAATGAGCCAGACATGATTTAGTTTGGCAGACTATCAGAATAATTTTGATCAGATTAGATGAGTTTTATTTTTTGGTTGTTTTTTTTTTTGCCACTGATCTGTGTTGCTTGAGATGAGACCTGATTACCAGGGATGACAATTTAAGGTTGATTACATTTCCATTTGTTCTCCATCACAATATCCAAAGCTGTCCTTATTTCCTCAAATTGATTGCGTTTGCTAATTCATTAATCGAAGCCCGCCTCCCCATAAGTGCCTCAAGCTTCAGTCAAACTCCACCAGTAATCTAAGGTGCTGCCAGTGGACAATCCGTAAATGTGACAGGTACCTGGTTTTGCAACATTGTCCAATGACCAACCAGGAATTCTGTCCATTATAATTACTTGTATTTTACATTTGTGTGAGATAATTAATTTTAACTTGCTGTTTAATCATCATAAAGGCAAATGCACACAGAGTAACAGCTGGGCAAGCATTCAGTTAACAGCCAGGTAATCCTTAATGATTAGTTTACATAAACTCAGCAGCAGGAGAGGAGGAACAGCTTACAAGACCACATGAAACCAGCCACACAGAAAAATTAATTCAATGGGAATTAAATGAAGTACAAAATGTTAATGTAAAAACATAAAACAGAGGATAGTAACTGTATAGTGATATAGAATGCTACTCAGATTGTAATTTTTTGCCTACTGGGTTTATTTTTAACTCCAAAAGCAAAAGGAATTTCTTTCCTGTTGTGCCAATATGAATACCGCACTATTTATCCTTCGCCCGATTGCCGGCCGGGATTGGCTCCGGCCCTCCCGTGACCCCGTTCAGGGATTAAGCGGTAGAAAATGAATGAATGAATGAATAAATGGTGATATAGTTCAAATCAAATATCTGATGAAAATAAACCACCAATGTTAAGAATGAACTGTCAGGCTCAACAGGTTTGAAGAAGGATGTGACATTTTCTAAAATACATTAATTTCCTTTCTTGCCCAGAGTTGGTTTACTAATATATATAGAGTTACCAACAGTCCTGGTGTCTTTACCTAAATGTACACTGGAAGTATAAAGCGTTTGATGTGTTACCTATTGTTGTGTCCTGATACTTACTTCTATAGTGTACTGCCAGAGAGGCCGCTGTACTAGTGTTGATAAAAGATGTGCGAAGAAGAGTTCCAAGATGGCGTTACTGAACACACAAGTGTTGTACTGCTGCTGTGCTTTACTCACGTCTATGAGACACTACATTTTGGCGACGAGGATACCTACGTTTTGTTCATCCTCTTCGACCGAACATGACTGCAAACGTTCCTCCTACGCAGATGTTTTTGTCTTGCCCTGGAGAACCTCCACTTCCCTTTGCAACGTGGATGCGGATGTTCAACAACTACCTGTTGGTGATTAATGCAACGGGGAATGCCTGGCCTGAAGTCCGCAAAAGAGCTACTTTACTTCATTGCCTCGGTGCAGAAGGACAACGGATTTTCTACTCTCTACCGGACACAGGTGACACTTTTAATACCGCTGTGGCTGCTTTGGAAAAATACTTCACGCCTAAAGTTAATGTTGTGGTGGAACGGTATAACTTCAGAAAGA